TGAAGCCTGTTGTGAGGATTAAATGAGTGAATATTCTGTTAGGCATATGGTCCTTCCAAACTGAGAGATTATTGCTGCAAAACCTCTTAGATATTCTTTCTCCTGCATTCTGCCATTGTGATCAGTAGGTACACAGATACTACCTATGCTGGGACAAGAAGAAAGGCACGCCTGGATTTTCTTGAAAGTCTGGAGACACTTGGTTTTCCAGAGCAGTAAGGAGCTCTGAGTGTGTGTTGGGTACACTTAGTCTTTGAGGTGTCACTGCAGAGCCCGCCCCTCACTGGTGCCTCCCCCTCCCTCTGCATGTTGGTGCTTTGTCTGGAGCTGGTGAGAGTCCACAGAGAAGGAGCCTCTCAGCTCCTGAGACAGAGAAAATCTCAGCATTCATCATCTGACTGCCACCTCCCCTGCCCCAGCTCTGTCTGCGGGACCCCAATCCAGGGACTCTGTTTCACCCCCCCAATGAATAGGCCTCGGTCTCCTAAGAGTGGGGGCAGAGGCAGCTGATCTGTGCCACGGATGGGGGTCAAAGTTTTGGTCCTTGGACTTGGAACCTGACCCCATTCTTTGGGCGCCGCCTTCAGCTCTCACTTCCAGGCGTTCCTGGCTCTTCCACTACCTGAGCCCTTGGGGGCTTCTGGGGAGAATTCCAGGTTGTATCTCGGTCGTTTCCTCTCCTGGACCAAGACTGAGCAGACCCAAAGGCTGAGTTACTGTCTTCCAGCTTTCCAGCTCCCAGCATTTTGCTGCTCATGTCTCCTTTCCTTTCTTTTCATTCTTTTGCACGGTGTATGCCATCTAAAAAGTTCCTGTGCTGTCGGCTTTAACAGAATTTGGAGAGGAGCAAAAGTATATGTGTATGTTCAATCTGTCATTTTTACCCTATTCCTTTTATTTCTATTTAATATGATGCCCTAATACTTTTCTCATGTTATCAAAAATAGTCATGAACACAGTTTAGAAAGTATAATCATCTTTCAAGCGCACCAGTATTGGCAGAGTGGAATTAGAAAAGTTATTTAGGAGGAAGTCAGTTCATGGAAGCTTGCCCGAGGAGAGTGTGCTTGTGAGCCTATAGTCTGTCCCCTGATGAGCCAACTCTTCATTTTGTCGCAGCTCCAGGGGCAGACGTCTGCTGTTCGTGGGTCCATTCAGATCAGAAGGGTGGGGACGATTGCCGGGGCTGAGTGCAGGGGGCAGGTGGTAACCGGGCGGTCAGCTGTAGAATCAGCAGCACAGGCCCCCGTGCTTGGTTTAATGCTCTGGGGTCATCATCTTGAAATTCTTAATTTTTAACAAGGTGCTTGCATTTTCATTTCGTACTGGGCCCTGCAAAGTACGTGGCCAGTCCTTACTGTGATTCATTTAAATATCTTTGGGTTTCAGTTTTCCTCTTTGAAATGTGCCTTAGTAATGTCCACTTTGCATATTGCAGGGTCGTGTGGGCTAGTACTGGAGAGAAAGTACTCTGGTAAGTTAAAAGCTGCCCCACACCCAACAGCGGTGATCATAGAGCAGATGACAAGTATGAGTAGTAAACAGAGTGTCACTGAGGGTTCTGATTGCTCCCTCCACACCCGCCCTTTACCCCCATGGGGTTTTCTAGCCCATCCTGATGCTCCGGTCACCTTGCTGACGGTGCTCCGTGGTTGGCTTCTGCGGTCAGGGGGCCTGCACACCTCGTCTGTGTCCTACCCTTCAGTGCTGAGCATGCCACTCCTGCGGTTGGGGCTCCGTGACACTTGGCGAATTGGATGTCTTCAACCAGACAAGTAGCCCCCCTAAAGTCTTTAAAACTTCTCACCACCGTTACAAATGTATCCCAGAGCAGGTGAGGCCTCAGGGACTGCTGAGTTCCTCACCATCCCTTGGGAAGCGAAGGCTCAGGGAGTGGCGTGCCTGGAAGATGCTGGGGCCGGGGCCGGAACTCGGGTCTCCCCACTGACCGTCTTTCTGGTGCTCTTTCCTTATCATGGTCTCATAAGAACATCTGGAAATTGGGCACAGCAAATATTAGATGTTTGTCAAGGATGTCTAAAAGCAACTACAGAGTAAGGGAAATGTAGCACAAATTTCAAAATTGAATGTATGGACAGATTTTGTTTTTAGAAGATGTTAAATTGGTGTGTTGTAAATAAATACTAGGTTTTGTGGCCGTGAATGTGAGCCTGGTTGTGTTCATTAGGATTTGATTTTAATAATATGAATTCATGGCAGCTTTGAAATCGGGCTGATCTGCTGTGAAATGAATGCAACAGCAGTGTCTTCGGTTTCTTTTTAAAATGGCTGGAGCACTGGTGGTTATATCTAATGCGCTCGTGTCTGCTCTCTCGCTTCTCGTTTTTAAATAAATACGTGGTTTTACGTGGTTTTGTGCACCCCGAGGGGTTAGTTCTGATTGATGTCATTCATTTTATTTTAGGAGCTCCCGGATTCGTTGAAGGAGCAGACACACCTGAGAGAATGGCACATAAGCGATACGCTGATTCAAATCATTCCTACATATATTGAGCTGTTTCAAGCAATGAGAATTCTGGATCTGCCAAAAAACCAAATCTCGCATCTTC